TGTGAATGCAGTTTTTTTTGTGGTTTTATGTTATGGAACTCTGAGCTCGAGTCAGCCAACAAACTTGCAGGGTTTTTTTATCCCTCAATTATTTATAACACAATATTAACACAATCAACAAATATAATAAACAAAGACAGGAAAAACAAGAGTTCATTCTATTACACATACAAAAAAAAAAAATTAGAAACAAGTTGAGAAAAAAACAGGTTCAAAGTTTGTCCTCAGGCGATGATATGCATTGCATATTGGGCACGACTAGGAACAGAAATGCAAAAAAAGGGCTGTGACTATCATCACAGGAGCATAATCATCATCCCTATAACCCCTTGATTATTCTTCTTTATTTTTTTCTCTGTTTGGTTTTGTTGCATATGAGTGGTTCAAGAAGAAAAAATAAGAATATAGAAAAGGGTTCAGATACTAGTGAGAAATGAGAATCTTACTAAAAGTTGGCAGAACCCACCTAAGATCTACTCCTCGTAGACAGTCTCACATCGTAATTAATTTGTGAAGAAGCATATACATGATATATGGAAAAGGAGAGCCAAATTTGAATAACATTGTGGCTAAGAAATAATAAAATAGAAAGAACACACTTATATTGATGGGAAAATGGTGTTTTTAGCACCATGCGAGAAAGTCATGATCAGCTAGGTAGCCTGTATATGAACTCCAATGGCGACAATCAAGATGGTGTAGATACAAAAGTACAAAATCGCGTGAACCAAAATTGAGATGCCACTAGTGTACATGTTGCCGAATTCAACCATTCTTGTCCTTGCTGGCAATTGGAACAGCAGCCCTGGAGAGAAGACGATGAACATTGCTACAGCCACCACTACTGGACCCCAATCGGCACCCATCTCTCGTGTTAAGGATATTTTTTTCTCCTTTCTTTTTTTTTTTTTTTGCTTCTCTCTAACCTTTATTTGTGAGGTAAGATAGAGAGCGATGCGTGGTTATGCTTTATTTCTTGTTTTTCTTAGTGTAGTGGTAATGGTTCTTGGGAATAAGTAGGGAATAATGTTTGTAATTGTGTGATTACTATTAATATTTTTCTTAATGAAGAAGGTTCTAAACTTTGAGGAGAGGAAAAAGGTGATGGGGGTGGGATTTGAAAGGAGGGAAAGTATGCATATAAATGCATGTTAATGAGGTAATTGCTTTATAGGAGGTGGCCAGGTGGGCATAATCACTTAAACTTTGTAAGCTTTTCAAATTTTAGCAAATGCGAGTGCAACTTTTTCTCATTGCTTTTATTGATCTGTATGAAGGTGGAAGCTTATCAAGAGCACAAAATATGTGTAAAAAAATATGTATCAGGTGTACAAAAAGGATTTAGGGAAAGGCATGTGGAGCATACCAAAAGTTGGTCATGAAGGTTTTGGGATTGCTTTTTTTGGGGGTTTGGTGTTGTAGCACATGCATGCATTATAATGCATGTGAGAAACCATGTCCTAATTCCCCTTTTAACTATTAATAATTTTATAGATCAAGGTATCTTAAAAATGAGCTACCCCCAAACATGCTTTTGAGACACCAAAAGAAAAATGCACAATTTCACCATTAAATGTTAATTCTTAAAATAATGTGACTAATTACTTAAATATTAACATTTTATGATAAAAAGTTTTTTAAAGTATGATTGACTAGTCCTATCTTATCAAACTTAGCCCAATAGAGAGTCGGAATTTATCATTTTCTAAAAACTATTTTACATATTTACTGCACTTTTTGAAAACTTTTTGCAAAAATACGACATTTAAAATTAAATGATATGTATACTATTCATAAACTAGTTATAAATCAAAAAATAATACAATTTAAAAATTAATAATTAAAAAAAAACAAACATAAACTAAAAATAAAATGTAAATTTTAGTAGCTTTTCAATTAAAATAAAAACTTTATACATATAAAAATAAAATTAGACTTGAAGGTAAATAGTGTAATTTTCTTTTTGTAAATCATACCAATTATAAATCAAAACCAATTAGCCGATTCGGCTAAAGTCTCGACTTTTAGAAGCCCAACGACATAGGCGCATAGTGATATCTGTTTGTCTTAATAGATTTTTTTTGTTTTAATAATTTTTTACTTAATAATATTTAATTTTGAAACAGTTGATTAAATTAAGTTTGAATGGAATTTTGAATTTATATTAAAATAATATTTAAAATAAAATAATTAAAATTAATTTAATGTAAAAGTAGGGGAAAAATTATTGAAATTAATGTAAAAATGGGAAAAAACTGATTGAAGTGATAGATAGTTAAAATTATGTGAATGGATGAATAGTAAATTAAAATTAATTTGATTTCTAAAGGTTATTGATTTTTATTATTTAATTATATCGATAATATTGAAGATAGTGAAAGTTGAGTTAGATTTGTGTTTGAATTGATTTTTTTTTTTAGAAAAAATTTTAAACAAGCAATCTCTAAAGACTTCTAATTGTATCAAAATGAGGTTTCCATTTTTAAACAATCATAAGAAAATAATATCACAATATATCAAATAATACTGGCGATGGCTGTATAAATATGGCGGTTTTGCTATGGAGCCAATAGTTGGCTCCATAGTGGAGCCAACATTCTATGTACAACAAACAAATTTACCATATTAATAAAATTATATTAGTGTTATTTAAGTAATCAGAGAATATGGTAAATTCACTTGTTGTATATAGAAGGTTGGCTCCACTATGGAGCCAACTGTTGGCTCCATAGTAAAACCGATAAATATGGAATAAGTTAGATAACGTTACAAACTTGAAAATTTCACTGGTTTTTGCATGAAATACACCTCTCTTGAAAGAGAAGTTATAATCAACATAATACATAATCAAAATTTATGTGTTAGACCTTGACACTCATTAATCAACCAACCGAAGCTAGAGGGTAACTACTTCAATTTGTGAACAGAAACAAGCTCTGATTTTCCTTTTACTTCAATGGACTCCTCGGCTTGCATAATTCCATACTGGAAAAGGAAAACAAAACACACACACACACACGGCGCATACGCATTTCATCAAACACCTGGCCTGCGTGATATCACGAAAATCAAAGAGCAATTGCTGTTCTATTTTAATAATTTTGTTTTGTTACCTACTTACCTGGGGCAAAGCTACTGGAATGAGGAGGCCGCCAGAGAATAGCTCCGCCAATTTCCGACAAAACGGACACGAATCCGGCGACATAAAATAGCATCACCAACATTATCACCAGCGGCATCATAACGAATCCGATGATGAAAGTAACCAATCCAAACAGCATCAGAGCAACGGAGATCCCGGTGAAAAGCAAGCCGAAGGCCGCCGGAGAAATCTGGGGCGGCGGCGGCGGCGGCGAAGAGAAAGAGGAAGATGGCTGCGATGACAGCAGAGAGAAGCCGGGGAACGAGATCGGCAGCGGCGTTGAGCGGAGGACGTGGATGGTCATGGCGCAGAGCTGTTGGAGCACCCTCATTTGCTCATCTTCTTCGCTCATTTTTTCTCCCCTTTTTTATGGAATAAAAGCTCTCTGTCTT